TGCCCAGGTACCAGGAGGCGCGGCAGGGCAGGGCGGCCCGGCTGCTGCCACTGGGGATCCCGTGCCTAAGGCGCTTGCAGTGACCTGTGCACCTTAGTGCTGCACCTCAGTGCTGCAGGCCTGAGGAGAAAAGGCCAGAATTCCGGAGGCCTGTGTTCATAGAGGGACAGAAAAGCCAGCCGGCTGGCTGTGGCTGGATACCGGATAAGTATACAACACTGGGCAGAGAGTTTATCTAAGGCGACGGCTAAGGGTGGCTCCTCGCGCTCTGAAAGCAAATGGCCCACACAGAAGCGTGGCCGGGAACATCATTTTGACAAAACTGATATGTTCATGCAACCAGAATTGACGAGGGAATTTTCTGGGGGCAGGAGGGGTGTATGTGTGGGTCAACAAAGTCCCTCCCCCCGGGAAAGCCCCCAAAGCTGATGGGTGCAGCACAGAGAGAGAACTTTCTGGAGCGCAGCTTGCCGAGGCAGCAGATTCCCCAGAGAGGGAGGCTGAGCCCTGCGCTCAGTTCCAGCTCCACTCTGCCCTCCCAGGGAAAGTGAGGGAGCGGCGTCTCCTTTGTCCCCAGCTCACACGCAGAGACGACACCTCCAAGGGTCTCACTGAGCGTGACATTCTCCGAGGGGCGGGTCACAGCCCGTGGGCTGCGTCAAGAACCCGAGCGGGGGGTGTTCAGGGTCTTCCCGTAGGCGAGTGAGGAGCAGGCAGCGAGGGAAGCCTCGCAGAACGCACTCCTGGGTACCTGGGCTGTGCGCTCTGCGTGAGTTTTTATGGCAAGAACATGAAAGTGTCGGAAAGCCATTTAATAGCTCGTAAAATAGAGATACGGAAATGCACAGCATGGCTTTAATTTTAAATACTGTACCCAAAACAAAACTAATCGTAACTTACTTTCCCTGTTTTAATGAAAACAAATAGACACTTTATCAACACTTTGAAGGTTCCAGGAGAAGAAAAACAACCATGAGCGAAGGAAGGCGAGCTGTGTGGGGCGGCGCGTGCTCTCGGCCACCCTGGGAAGCTCAGGGCCGCTGGCCCCACGCTGGCGCCCAGTAGCGCCCGTGGGCAGCTGAACGGGGGACGCTTGTTTCCCAGGCCGGAACCTCCCAGGGGAGGTTCCCTCAGGGAGACTGGCCGCAGCCAGGACCCCAGGTGGACATGGGCTGGGGGGCGGGGGCCCCGACACCCTCTGGCCACCTCTCGCCTTCCCCGGCCCCTCCCGCGGTCAGTCCCGGCGGGAACTGAGCACCGGGCAGGGTCAGTCCCTAGAGGCCAGGAGCCGGGACCCAGGGGTGCGGCGGCCACGAGCCATGCCCAGGCCACCTCTGTTTGGAAACATCCAGATCGAAACATCACCGGTCCGCAGTGGGCAGGGGTGACATGTCTTGGCGGGAGCCGTGGCGGGGCAACATAGGTGAAGCGGGGGGCCCTGTACCCCGAAACCTGCATAGCGTGAGCTGACACACAGGCCGCGCGGGCTCTGCGTGCCCCTGACGGTGGAGGCGCCGTGCGCTCTCCCCTCCGCCTC